GATATATGACCACCATGATAACATTGGGAAATGAGAGGACACCGAACTGTACATAATAAGAGATAGAGGACAGGTGTTAAAACCAACCAATGTGTCCACAATACCACATTGCCATTAACACCAAACACTAGGCTATACAGATAAACACATAAACACCTGAGATGATCAGACAGGGATCAGTGAATAGAGGTATACGCTAGACCAAGGATAGACTCAGCTGAGGCTAATCTTGTACAGACACTAGTGATACTAAATACCTGCAATCCTTACAGAAACAATAGAAGACAGACATATAGTAAGTAATCCCTCACAGACATCCCAACACTATGGGAGAGAGATACAATAGAGCTACTACCTCAGGATCATAGTACTGGGGTATACCAGATTCAATTGGCACAACAAAATACATAAAAGTGTTGCTCCACATCCTACATTGGTGAGTAGGGGTCTTAAATGCTTTCAAGCAGCTGTCTAGGATGCAGCTAATGGTCTCCTAGCATTGGAAGTAAAGAAGCACACACACACACACAAAAAGGGGGCATTTAGAAGCAATCAACCCTAGGACACGATGGCCCTCAAGACCAGAAGAACCAGATGGTGCTGAGTTATCAATGCCAACCACTCAGGAAAGGATCAAATCTGGAGATCCTGGATAGAGTGGGAGGGAAAACGTGGAACAAAATCCAAAAACTCAGTAATGACCAGAATTACTGGTCAGATGAAGTCTGGTGAGACTCCCAATACTATGGCCCTGAAATACGTTTGGCACCTCAAATAAAACTCATCCCCAGGGGCGGGCTCTCAGACCAATGGTTAGCAAGATGTACATGCAGACCACTCAGCCCAGGATGCTGCAGTCACACACTCAATGGCAATACATCCCCTAAAGCAATAAACCATGGGACACCAAAGGACCAACATTCAAACTGAGGAAACGCAGGACAAACAGGAGTGCATAATTATGAGGGGCACAGGGGGAGTGTTGCAGGGTAGGGAGGGGAGGAGACTGGGTTAGGGTTGGACATGGCGAATGGGGAATGAAACTAAATGTACACGTGACTTTGAATGTAAAACAAGCTCTTAAAATAAGAAAAAAAAAACTGGGAAAATACATAAATAAAATGATACAACCACTAAATAAATAAATAAAAGTTAAAAAAAAAAAAAAAAAGATTTTAGCCTTGAAAACCCTATGGGGCAGTTCTACTCTGTCCTATGGAGTAACTAGGAGTTAGAATCAACTTGACAGCGCTGAGTTTGGGGCACTTTTTCCTCATCTGTAAAATGCAGATATAACTCCCACCTTGCAGTGTTGGTGGGAGCATCTAATGAGATGATGTATGTAAGGGTTTTGAGTGTCTGACTCATGTTGTTGTTGTTGTTGTTATGTGCCGTCAAGTCGGACCTGATTCATAGCGACCCCTCCTTAGGTTGCCGAGGCAGTATCACTACGGAAGTAGGATTGCCCAACCTTCCTTCCAAGGAGTAGCTGGTGGGTTTGAACTGCCAGCCTGTGGTTAGCAGTCAAGTGCCTTAGGCACTATGCTACCAGAGCTCCTAGGAGTGGTAGTAAGTACTTAATAAATCTTAACCATTACTATCCTAAGGAACTCTGGCAGCACAGTGCCTAAGACATCTGACTGCTAACCAGAAGGTTGGTGGTTCAAACCCACCAGCTGCTCCCCAGAAGCAAGACTGGCCAATCTACTTCAGTAAAGATTTATTGCCTCAGAAACCCAATGGGGGTCACTATGAGTTGGAATCGACTCAATGGCCGTGGGTTTGGTTTTGTTTTTATTACCTCCATTAACAGTTCAAATATAGAACTGCTTCTCAAATGTTAATGTGCACATGAAGCACCAGGTTATGTTTAAATTCAGATTCTAATTCACTACTACTGGGTTAGGGTCTATGATTCTGCATTTCTAACTAGCTCCCAAGTGAATCTGAGGACTACCCTTTGAATGGCAAGATGGTAAAACAGTACTATTATCAGGTGCAATTGTTTTGTTTAATCAGTGACTTTCAATACTGTCTCAAAGAACTTAAAATAAATTGATTCTAACTGCCTTCTCTCACAAATAGTTTACTTTTGAAGGATCCAAAGTGGAGCCTGGACATCAGTATTTTTTTAAAAACCTCCCAGATGGTACAAATGGTTAAGGCCTCTACTACTAGCTGAAAGGTTGGCAGTTTGAACCCATCCAGAGATGCCTTAGAAGACAGGCCCAGCAATCTTCTTCCAAAAGATCATAGCCTTGAAAACTTTATGGAGCACAACACTCTCTACTCTGTACATGTGGAGTCTCCATGAGTCAGAATCAACTTAGTGGCAACTGAAAACAACAGTAGATAATTCCAGTGGTGACCAGGATTGAGGCGCTCTGCCTAGTGAGCCTAATGTGCAACCACAGTTGAAAACAACCTCTTGACAAAAATTATTGTTTGCAAGAAGTCTTCTGAGTTCCTTAGTAATTTACAAGTAAAGGTGTTTTGGGCTTTCAAGTGTACTGCATTTCCTAAACACATCATTTTATATGGGAAAGTTAAGCTCAAAGGGTATATATGCATGTCCTAGCAATTGTAATTTAGGCAAAAATAAACTAAACAGTAACCTTCTTGATTATTCTGAGCTACACAGATACATGGTTCATGCTTTTGCTAATTGCCTTTCCCTTCTGTGGACATTAGCCACCTTTTGGCTTTTATATGTGATGACTGGTGTCACCTGTCTAAGAGATCACATACTTCATGTCTACAAAGCGTGCAAGCAAGAGTGGAAAAGAAGGCAGAAATGGATGTTTGTCAAAGGCCCAGGAAGTAGAAAGGGGAGTTCTGCTGTATGTTGTGGGGAATTCCCGACGGAAGTTACAGGCGTCCCTACTCAGGAGAAGAAAGCAGAGAGTAGTCAATAAATTGCTAAGCAGATTCACTAGCATCTCAACCCAAAGTCTTCTACCTAATTCTTCAGTGTCTCAGACTTACCAACTAACCTCCTTTGCATGCCTCATTTCTCTTCCCTGTTTCCTGTTTACATAACAGAATAAGAGGAGACAGTGGTGATTCAGTGGTAGAATTCTTACCTCCCATGCAAGAGACCTGTGTTCTATTCCCAGTCAATGCACCTCATTCACAGCCACCAGTGGAGGCCTATGTGTTGCTATGATGACAAACAGGTTTGACTGGAGATTCCAGACTAAGATATACTAGGAAGAAAGGCTCGGCACAGTGCCTGGCACAAAGCAGTTGCATACAAAATACTAATTCTCTTCTTCCATTCCCCTTGTGGATAGAAAAGAAAAAACTTCTACATCAGATTTGTGTGATGTGGCTCTGATGCTGGGTGTGCAATCTTGGACAAGTTGCTTGACCTCTCTGTACCTCAGTTTCATTTTCTTTAAAAAAAAAAAAAAGATGAAGATAACAGTTTTGCTGACCTTGTAGGTTTCCTGGGAACACTAAATGAGATAATGTATTAGCAGAGTGTCTAATATGTCACAAGAATGCAAGAAAGGATACTTTTATTATTACTGTTACCAGTGATAGGATGTGGTATTTGTTGGAGAAAAATGTAAATTAATGCCTACAGATTGAACAAAATGAGCCTGAATAATCAGATGTGAAGGCAATTAAGTGAAATAGGCTGAGACCTTGAAGGTAGGAAAATCACAGGAGAAATTGTTTTCATGTGAGAGATGATTTGGAGGGGCTACAGGGCTACAGGGAATTAGGTGTAAGATGCTAGCAAGAGCAAGATATGCTTAGTCACAAGCTTTTGCTGGGATGCCCAAAGAGGGACAGATGGCAGGAAGGTACTCAGCTGCACAGGTGGGAACTATTTAAAGGAAAGAACTACCACAAAGTAGTGGATCAAGAATCTACCCTTGCAGTTGGCAGACAATGTTTCTACAAGTGTATTGTTATGTTCTGTAAGAATTCCCAGGTATATAGTAGAGCTGACAAGGGATAAGGTTGTAGTCACTTCTTGGCCACAGCCAGCTACCCAAAGGGAGTAAGTAGTTGGACCTGTGGGCTTGGGACCATAGTCACAGGGGACATCAAGCTCAATTGCATAACATACTACACAAAAACACTGTTCCACATCCTACTTTGTTGAGTAGCGACTGGGAACTTAAAAGCTTGCTAGTGGCAATCTAGATGCAATGATGGGTCTTTCCTTGTCCAGACCAAAGAAGAATGAAGAAAACCAAAGATGCATGGAAACAATTAGTCCAAGTGACTGATTTACCATGTGATCCTCAGCCTATACAACTATAAGGCCAGAAGAACAAGATGGTGCCCAGCTACCACTGTCAGCCACTTGGAGGAGGATATATGTAGGAGAATCTGGACAGAGTGGGAGAACAATGTGGAACAAAACTCAAAATCATTTAAAAAAAAAAGGGGGGAGGGCATGTTTGCTGGTCTCATACAGCCTGATGGAACCACTGAGACTATGGCCCCTAGTTGCTCTTCAGGTCCAGAATTGAACCCACTCTTGTGGCTTCCCGCCAAACAAAAGTCAGGCATATGAGCTGAACATTTAAGATAGATACACTCCTTGGAGAGATCAATCATGGGACAATAGAAGGGCTGTGTATGCACAGGGAGACAGCTCAGGGGAGTGCATGGGAGGAAAGGACACAAGGAAGATGTGACTATGGGGAGGAAGTAGGAGGGGAGCAGTTGCATTGTAGGAAATTGTAGTCAATGTCATGAGACAATGTGTATGTGAGCTGCTGTATGAAAAGTAAATTTGCTGTGTAAACTTTCACCCAAATCACAATAAAAATTTTAAAAAAAATTAAAAAAAAAAAAAAAAAAAAAGCCACCCTTGCTCAGACTCAATGGTGGAAATGAGAGAAAGCAGTCCAAGGGGATGCCCAGATAATGGAAGGATCTCTTAGAAAGTGAGGGTGGATGAGTGTCTTTGGCCCCCATTCTGGACAGAACTAAATTATGAAGGCAAACATTGGCAGAATGTCTTGCTTCCTTTTCAGCTTTTTTCACAGTAACTGTCCCCAAGGAACTGTACATGGTGAACCATGGCAGCAATGTGACCCTGGAGTGTGATTTTGACACTGGCGGTCCTGTTGAACTAGGAGCAATTACCGCCCATTTGCAAAAGATGGAAAATGACACATCCTTACACAATGAAAGAGCCACATTACAGAAGGGACAACTATCCCTGGGAAAGGCCTTATTCCACATACCGCAAGTTCATGTGAGAGATGCAGGGCAGTACCGCTGCTTGATCGTCTATGGGAACGCCTGGGACTACAAATACTTGACTCTGAAAGTCAAAGGTAAGTGTTTTCAGGGACCAAATCCATGCCAGCATCTCCCTAACATGGGACCTGTGTCAGCTTCAAGGGACAGAAACCCACTGGAGCTGGGAAAACCTCTATAGCAAAAACTGGGAAGATGGCTATAAGGAGACAGAGCTATCTCAGTTAAAACAGGAATACCAAATAAAAATATTTCTTGCCATCTGAGTATAAAACAGCTGAGGGGAGGGTAAGTAGAGGTACCAGTACCACTTGCCACTGAGTCACTTCCAACTCATGGTGACCCCATCTGTGTTGGGGTAGAACTGTGTTCCCTAGGGTTTTCAATGGCTAATTTTTCATAAGTAGATAACAGGTCTTTCTTCCAAGATGCCTCCGGTGGGCTTGAAACCTCAACCTTTCAGTTAGGAGCTAAGCAGCCATAGGGATTGTAGAAATAAATGGGGTAGAGAAAGCCAGAGGTGAGGGGTGAGGGGTGCAAATGAGTTCCTGAAATATGAGACAGTGTCAAAGATAAATTTTGCCTAATTCAGTTTTCCTAACAACAGCCTGACCTGATTATTAAGCTAGCCTTTCAGAAATAATTCCTCTAGTCCAGACTTTTTCAAACCATGGTTTGCCATCCATTAATGACTTAAACCAATTAAGTGAGCAGTAACCAGCTGGGTGTTTGTTTGTTCCAGTAAAATAAACAGAACAGGATAGAAAACATCCTAGGGTATCACATAGCAAGACTGAGTATTGTTTTCTGAAACTCTTGTTTCAGAGGAAAGAGTGTGTGTGTGTGTGTGTTGGGGTCTTGGCATAAAATGTCTTCTCTCACTGTGAGTCATAGTCTAAAAATTTGGAAAGCACTGCTCCAAACTAAGCCCCATCTGCTGTAGGTGAAGTATGAGGTACAGAGAAGTGAAGAGGATTGCCCAGTCAAAAACCAAAATCCAAACACATTGTCATTGAGTTGATTCTGACTCATGATGACCTTAGACCTAACCCTTTCTAGGAATCAACTAGAAAGAACTACATGGAAGATAGTCTGAGCTCAGTTAACATGGGAACAGAAGACCATGCATTATCTTTGTCACCTAATGCACTCAATATTTGCACCCCTAAGTCACCACCCCTAAATATATTGATCCCTATTTAAATTGCAAATTTGATCAATTTGGGCCAGCCACTCCTCTCTTTCAGGCTGAGGGCTACCCCTTCACTCTCCTCTACTTTTTCACCTGAGGGCAAGGATTCCTCAGGCTTGTTCCTTAGACCAATGGTCTTCAAACCGGGGTATTTGAGGCTCACAAAGATTTTCTAAGGGGTGCATGGGCACAGTGACATCGCTACTTGGTATCACCCAGTGTGGTAACTTATGGCATAAAACCCCCCTTAACTTCCTCCTGAATCAGAACATACAGAATCCTTAATAATGTTTGTTATCAGTTTTAATCATAGAATAACATATGATAAATATGCTTGTAAATTGATTAACTGTAATATTTCTTAGATGATAAGAATACTAACAACAAAATTGTTTTGTAAAATCTTTCTACCTTGAATTGCAACATTATTAGTTACGATATTATTAGTAATTGAGTGGAAGTCTTTTTTTAATTTTTCTCCTTCTTTTCCTTTAATTGCTACTTCATTCTCAAAAAAGTTATTGATCTAGTTTAACAAGTACTACTTACCACAATATTGTACCTAAAACAATTTGAAAAGTAGGCAAAATCGGTTACTATAAAACACCCATAGCAACAAAGACAGTACTGCATGCTTTTAGCAAATGCAGAAGAAATCATCTGATTCACTGTAATTGGGTAATAATGATAGCTCTGGCCAGAGCATATTAAACCAAAAAAAAAAAAAAAACCACCCAAACTCACTGCCGTTGAGTCGGGTCCAACTTGTAGCGACCCCTCCTTGGTTTCTGAGGCAGTATCACTACGGAAGCAGATTGCCCAATCTGCCTTTCCAGGAGTGGCTGGTGGGCTTGAACCGCCAGCCTTCGGGTTAGCAGTCAGATGCCTTAGGCACTATGCCACCAGAGCTCTTAGAAGATTCAAAAAGTCAATCAGCATAGAGTTTTAGCCTTGTAGGTATATTGACACGTTTAAGTTGGGTTTGTGAAAAATGTTGTTGTTACAGCTACACGGAAATTTTTAGGAAATAATTTTCCAGATCCTCATCTTCCACAAGTACTGTTTACGCAAATTGATGTGCCTGAGAATGTGCCTGCCAGGGGAGGTTTTTGGTGTTCTTCAAAGGCATTTCCTCTTTTGCTATTCCTTTCTCCCACTTCAGAAAAAGATTGTACTCAGCAGCCATCTTAAATGAAGTGCATTGTTCCATGGTCTAAAAACCTCCTAACGCTAAACAGAAATATTGCTATCTTACTGGTCTGGAATAACTAAAAAATTGTTTTTCAAGTCAGCTGCTTGGAGTGGAAGAGTTTATCAGTAGTTACCAGGGAATGAGGCCAGGGAAGAATGAGGGGTTAATGTTTAAGAGGTACTGGGATTTTGTCTGGGGTGAGAAAAACTTCTGGAAATGTGGATAGCAGTAAGGGTTGTACAGCATCATGAATGTGATTAATGTTGCTGAATTGTATATTTAAGAGTAGTTAAAATGGCTAATTTTTTGAGGCATTTATTTTATGACCAAAAAAAATCAGTTTTCAACAAAATTGGAGGTCTTAATAGAGTTATCATCTGATAGTTCAAAATGTATTTCTTTTGCCAAGATAATCTTAGAGTTCAAAGAATGAGGCAATAATGCCATGACAAATTCTTTCCTTTCCCATGTATTCATGTGAACAAGATTTCTTCACCCTTATAGCTACAAAGAAAAGACAAAAAATAGAGATAGAATCAACTCTGAATGTTGTCTCATTTCAACAATAAGTCGTCTACATCCACAGATTGATGAACAAATAGGGGGAAAAAATTCCTACCCATCTCATCAAGTCATTTCTAGTAATTTTTAGCATTTATGTTTAATCAACAATTATCAATATTTATGATGTTTTCTGTTGGGGTGAAATGTGTTCTACTAATAAAGAAAATTAGATTTCAATATAGAAGAAAATTTTCAGTACTTAGAACCTATGGTCACAAAAGTAAAATCTTAATTTCAGTACATATTTTGTTGGTGTAAAGAAGCATAAGGATAATCAATAAAAGCTATAAAGGCATAAAAAAGTACTACTACATTAAAAATAGGAGCTCTGGTAGCATAGTGGCTAAAAGCACTTGACTGCTAACCAGAAGGCTGGCGGTTCAAACCCACTAGCCACTCCTCAGAAGGAAGGTTGGGCAATCCTACTTCTGTAGTGATACTGCCTCGGAAACCCAAGGAGGGGTCGCTATGAGTCGGGGCCGACTCGACGGCACATAACAACAACAACAACAACATTAAAAATAAAACTCTAAGGACAGAGAAATGGGAAGTGAGGTTCAAGGACTAAAAAGAAACAATATAAACCTTCTGAGTGTTCTAGAAAAAAGTTATGTATGTATTTTTTCAATGGATTAAGGTATATATCAAAAATACTATTTATATTAAATGTTATTGAATACATACGTAAGAATGAAATAATTGTCTATTAACAAATATAGTTATAAAACACTTATCATATATTTTTCAAATTAGAAATGTATGAAAAAATATAGGAATCAATATGTGAGATGGTGAATGTGTGACATCACACTACTTTTAAGAAGAATGGAAAAAAGAAATAGAAGACCAGCACCTAAGAACATTCAGCCCAAATTAGAGGTCTCTGAAAGAAGCCAGGGTGCCTCTTCAGCATTTGAGACATAGGACCCCAGTTGTACTTGTTAGGTGCCCTTGAGTCAGCTCCTAGTCATGAAAACCCCATGCCTTGTCCTGCATACACCATCTTCACAATTGCTGATATGCTGCAGTCCATTGTTGCAGCCACTGTGTATTTTGAGTGGGCAACTAACAAGTACAGTGCTCATCTTCCAGCACTATATCAGACAATATTCTCTTTTGACCCATAAGGTTTTCACTGCCTAATTTTTGGAAGTAGATTGCCAAGGCTTTCTTCCTAGTCTGTCTTAGGCTAGAAGCTCTGGTGAAATTTGTCAACTATGGGTGGATCTGCTGGTATTTGAAAAGCTGATGGCATGGCTTCTATGCCATGAAATCATAGCAACATGTATGTGGACACCATAGTATGTGGACAGCAGACCATACATTAAATAAAATTGATCTTAAGACCTTACAAACCAAACTCATTGCCGCCAAGGTCAATTCTGACTCATAGTGACCCTATAGGGCAAAGTAAAACTGTCCCATAGGGTTTCCAAGGCTGTACATTTTTATGCAAGCAGACTTCTTCCCACAGAGTGGCTGGTGAGTTTGAATCACCAACCATTTGGTTAGCAGCCAAATGCTTTAACCACTGTACCACTAGAAAACCAAAAACCAAACCTACTACCTTGAAGTTGATTCTTACTTATGGTGACCCCCATAGGGTTTCCAAGGCTTAAATCTTTATGGAAGCCAACTGCCTCAACTTTCTCCCTCAGAGCAGCTGATGGATTCGAAAAACTGACCTTTTGGTTAGCAGCTGAATGCTTTAGCCACCACACTGCATTAAAACTGCTGTGTGGGGCCAGAAGAGAAGACTGCTCAGTTCACAAGAAGTAATTAGACACCATATATTCTCTGCAAGGAGCTCTGGTAGCATAGTGGCTAAGACACTTGCCTGCTAACCAGACGACTGGCGGTTCAAACCCACCAGCCACTCCTCGGAAGGAAGGTTGGGCAATCCTACTCCCGTAGTGATACTGCCTCGGAAACCCAAGGAGGGGTCACTATGAGTCGGGTTTGACTCCATGGCACATAACAACAACAACAACTGCCTTGGAAACCCAAGGAGAGGTCGCTGTAAGTCAGGTCTGACTCACGGCACATAATAACAAAGGAGCTCTGGTAGCATGGTGCCTACGGCATTTGACTGCTAACCAGAAGGCTGACGGTTCAAACCCACCAGCCACTCGTCGGAAGGAAAACAAAGACGGGGCAATCTGCTTCCGTAGTGATGCTGCCTCGGAAACCCAAGGAGTGGTCGCTATGAGTCAGATCTGACTCGACAGCAGTTTGGTTTTGGATATTCTCTGCTATTTAGATCTGGAATATAGGTCTTGTCGCAATATCATTTTTAAGAGCATTGGCTAAACAAACTGCATCCAAAGACTAAAAACCCAGCGCCAACAAGTACATCTCACTCCTAGTGATAGTCACTGGGTTTCCAAGGCAGTAAGTATTGACTGAAATAGATTACCCTATCTTCCTTCCATGGAGCACCTGGTGGTTTGAACCACCAACCTCTGTCAGTCAAATGCCTTAGGCACTAAGCCACCAGAACTCATATTCAAAGACTGATATCTGGAAATGCGTGCAGAAACTATGTCTTGTGAGATATGTTTAAAGGAATTAGGCATAATTAAATAATTTAAAGGAATGAGGCACAGTTTATCTAGAGATGAACAAGACAATGTGGAGTCTTACCTATTGTCTGCAAATACCTGAAAGATTGCCTGTCATATGAAGAGCTACTAATCATTGCTAGTGATAATTGAGCATTTACCATGTACACAGTAGCTAACTCATTTCATTAACTTAATGCCCCTGTTAAGGATAAATATTATTTTACCCATTTTATAAACAAGAAAACTGAAAATTCAGAGAGATTACACAACTAGACTTTGGCTCAAGCTTAGTTAAATGGTTTGAACTCTGAAGTCCATGGTCTTAACTACTATATCTATCATATGTTGTTTAGTTAACCAGATGAGCACCAACAGGTGGATGTTACAAAAAGGCAAAATTCGGTTTGGCACAAGGATGACCTTTCCAATGAAAGTTTAACTTGTTGTTTAATCATGGCAAAGGCTACTCCTGGAAGTAGCATCTCCCATTCATGGATGTACTTAACCAAATTTAGTTATCTAGCAGGTGATTAATATTAGAAAAGAAGAATTCCTAAAGATAAAGAGCAACATTTCATAATGATAAAAGAATCAAATTTACAGGAAGTTATAACAATCCTAAACTTGTGTACATCTAACAACATAGCTTCAAAATACTTCAAATAAAAACAGACTTAAAAGGGGAAATAGACAAATAGATAATCCTATTTGGAAATTTCAATCCACCTCTATTAGTAACTGATAGGAAAAGAAGATTGAAGATTTAAACAAGACAACTAGTCAAGTTGACCTAATAGACTATGTGGAACTTATACTCAACAATTGCAGAACAGACATTATATTCCAGTATACATGGGACATTCACCAAGATAGTTATCTAGCAGAGATGCTACAGAAGATATTTCTCATTAAGGAGGAAGTAGGACAAGTTGAATTTTAAGATCATATCCACTTCTGAAATTCTGAGATTTGCTCATCTTTTCTTAAGAATATCACCCTCAGTTCAGCTTCTCCATTTTCTGCTGTTGATAATGTTGCTTTTTCAACCACTTCCCAAACAGGAAAGAGGCTGTGGAGGTGGCTTGGATATTATACAAATGTGACACTGTATAAACGTAACCAAACTCACTGTGGTCAAGTCAGTTCCGACCCACAGCGAACCCTCCTTGGGTTTCCGAGGCGGTATCTCTCCGGAAGTAGATTGCCCAGTCTTTCTTCCAAGGAGTGGCTGGTGGGTTTGAACTGCCAGACTTCTGGTTAGCAGTCAACTGCCTTAGGCACCATGCCACCAGAACTCCTGTGTAAATGTAGGATGTGGGCATCTGTCCCTCCCCAAATCTTGCTGACTCTTTACCACTAACATGTCTCCCATCTGCTCCCTCATTTTCATATCCCAAATCAAAGCCTCAGCTCAGCTCCTGATTCCTGGGTCTCCCACCTCTGAAGTTACGATCTTATTACTGCTATCAAGATCAGATTTTTACCCAGAGCCACCCTGCAGGAAAAGGCCAGACCCTTATCCACACACACGGTTCTTATGAATCTATTTATTCTACTTCATCCCCAAAATGACTTGAGAGAGCTTACTAATCTACAACTTAATAAAATGAAGTGATTAGAAGAGAACATCAAACCAAGAGAAAATAAGTGTAGATATATAAAATAAAACTAGAGATATGTTGTTGTTATTATCAGATGCCATCAAGTCAATTCTAATTTATTGTGAACTATTGTGTGCAGCATAAAACCGCTCCATAGGCTCAAAATCATTAAAAAAGGTGGTGGGGGGGGCCAGGTTTGCTGGTCCGACAGAGCCTGATGGAACCACTGACACTATGGCCCCTTGCTGTGCTTCAGGCCTGGAATTGGACCCACACCTGTGGCTTCCAGCCAAACAAAAAACAAGCATTTACATTAGGTAGATACACTCCTTGGAGAGATCAATCATGGAAGAATAGAAAGGCTGTGTATGCACATGTAGACAGCTCGGGGGGGCAGGAGGGCATGGGAGGGAAGGACACAGGGAAGAGGTAACTATGGGGAGAAGTGGAAATAGAACTGTTGCACTGTGAGAAATTGCAGTCAATGTCATAGACAAAATGTATATGAACTGCCGTACAGAAAATTAATTTTCTCTGTAAACTTTCACCCAAATGACAGTAAAAATTTTAAAAAACTGCTCTATGGGGAAGTAGATTGCTGAGCCTATCTTCTGAGGCACCTCTAGGAGGGTTCAAATAACCAAACTTTTTGAGTGCTTAACTGTCTTTGACACCCAGGAACGTCCAGATGTTTGATTGTTAGAGATAGGCCAAAATTGGGCTCCAAGAACACTAGGGAGTCCAACTGGGTCAGGTCCTTTGGTAAGCTTCTTCAGAACCTGACTGTCTTTGTATTCTACTACTTCTGGGTGCTCCAAAGTCCTCTTCCTTCTTATGTTGTTTCTTCTCCAGAACTCTGCAGTTATACAGAGAATCCTCTTCTTTGTGTGATCTAGTGCAGAATGCATAACTGGAGGAAAGAAAGGCTGTGTTCAAGGCCCCCAATCTTGAAACCCAACTCTTTTTTCATCTATAAAAGAGAAATATAATGATGCACATGGAGTCATTGTGTAGCTTAAATAAAATAATATATATGTTAGGTGAAGAATATTGAATATACCACAGACCACCAGAAGAATGAACAAATCAATCTCAGAAGAAATATAACAAGAATGCTCCTTAGAAGAAGGATGGTAAGACTTCAGCTCACTTGCTTTGGACAAATCATCAGGAAAACAAATCACTAGAAAAAGACATCATGATTAGTAAAGCAGAGGGTCATAAAAAATGAGAGAAACCCTCAATGAGATGGATTGACACAATAGCCACAACAATTGGCTCAAATACAGCAATGATCGTGAAGATGGTATAAGACCAGCCAATGTATGTTCAGTTATATATAAGGTTGCCATGAGTTGAAGCCAACTCAATGGCAACTAACAACTACAACAGCATGTGTTAAGGAGCTAGGATCAGATTTAAAACCATTTACCCCTATTCCTCTCCAAGTTCTTGACTAAGTGATCTGCATACACAAGAATCAGTAGTCAAATGGAAAATGGACCTCATTTTTTATTAATATTAGGGTAGAATGCACACTTCCTCCCTTTCCTCTCCCCCCAACTTTGGGACTTCCCTGGTAAACTGTGCTGGAGATTATGACTCAGAACAGGGGGCTTCTTGTAATGTGTGTGTATGTGTCAGGTAGAAGAAATTGCTCCCAACTCCTGACTATTAATAGACTTATTATCTAGGTCTTTATTTTTCTTCCACTTGATCTCAAAGAGAACAGAGGAAAGGGGGAAGTGCAAAGTGAATTTTCTTCTGAAGATGTTTGAAAAACACTAAATAAAGTGAGATTTGGGGGTTATCTTATTATTTTATTTATCCCCTGTTCTCCCCTCTCCAGCCCTCAGTTGTGAGATAATTTCCAGTATGAAGGAAGCTACATGTTGCAGTGACTTAGCGCATTGCTCAGATTTGGAGTCAGACTTCCAATGTTCAAATATTGGTCTTACCATTTATGGTCCATGTGACTCTAGCAAAATACTCAACTTGCTAGCTTCAGTTACCTTCAACAAAAAAGGGGACTAACAACAATGCCTTCTTTTATAAGAATGGCTTCTATATTATAAGAATTAAAGAGTTCACTGTATATAGAATAGCATGATATCTGGCACATAGAAAATGTTTGATACATGAAAACTGTTATTAATATTGAAAATGATAATTTTATTCATTTCACATGGCATTGAATACAGAGTTCAGAAAAGACTTGTTTCTTTCTCTTCTGTTTCTTTTATTGTCTAGCTTCTTACAAGAAAATAAGAACTCATGTCCTTAAGGTCCCAGGAGCAGATGAGGTGGAGCTCAGCTGCCAGGCTGATGGGTATCCTCTAGCAGAAGTTACCTGGCCAAACATCAACATTCCTGCCAACACCAGCCATACTAAGACCCCTGAGGACCTCTACCAGGTCACCAGTGTTCTGCGCCTAAAGCCACAACCTGGCCAAAACTTCACCTGTGTGTTCTGGAATGCAAACATGAAGGAACGTACATCAGCTGTCATTGATCCTCAAGGTAACAGCTGCCTGCTTCCTGGCTCCATCTGCTAAGGTCCAGGCAGGAAACAAATGCACACTCAAAGTGAGTAACTGGAGGAGAGTATAATGAAGGAACTGTTTACAAAGGTGTGATGGGGGTTAGAGAAACCCACAAAGGCTAGCACAGGACCCTGGGCTTCAACAGTGAAGGAGCAATTCCCATTATTGGAGTGGGTGGTCACTGGGACCAGAAGAGGCAGCTATACCGAGTGGCCTCCAGGATAGGAAGGCTGCTCTAGCAGAAATTCCACAAGGTGACTCCCCCTCCAGTCTCATGATGGTGCCTCTGTAGTGAGTTCCAGTGAACAGCACAGGCAATTAGGGGAAAGGTGTGACCATGAGATAGTGGCAGTTGCACAACAAGTTCCTAATTGAGGTGGAACATTGGCAGCCACATGCCAGGGGTGGTACCCTACCACAGGTGGTCTTCCAAAGGCAAGCAGCACAGGGAGCCACCAGAGGAAAAGAAGGCATGAAAACCCAGGGGAAAAGCAGAAGAGGAGGGAGGCTTATGTGTCCCTATACAGTGACATTTTGCAGCAAGGTGGACAGTCTCTGGGTCACAGAGCTCCAAAGGCAGCAGCACCTTATTGTTAGTTGCTGTCAGCTCCAACTCATAAGTTGACCTTATGCACAATAGAAAAATCATTACCTAGTCCTAGGCCATCATCATCATTGGTATCCTCAAGTGCATTGTTGTGGCCACTGTGTATTTTGAGTGCCTTCCAACCTAAAGGTTCATCTTCCTAGCACTCTATCAGCAAATTCTCTGTTGTGATCCATAGGATTTTCATTGGCTTATTTTTGGAAATCGATCTCTAGTCCTTTCTTCCTAGTCTGTTTCAGTCTGGAAGCTCCACTAAAACTAGTCCATCATAGATAACCTTGCTGATATTTGAAATACCGGTGGCATAGCTTCTAGTATTATAGCAACATGCAAACCATCACAGTACAACAAACTGACAAACTGGTGGTGGACCAGCTCCTTAGGGTCCTTATACCTAAAGAGATTTTTACCCTGTTCGAGGCTAGCAGATGCTTTGCTCAGTTTCAGAGGATATGTGAAATAGCCTCTTGGTGGCTAAAAATCTGCTTATTTGGGCTATTTTTTAATAATTGGATGTGTACAAATTTGAGTTTGGCATCAGTGGGCTAAGGGATCTCAGCTTGCTATGAAGAAATAAACAACTTGGAGCTAATATGCAGAGGTCATCTTTTCTTCATTTAAGCTTCTCATTGGCTTAACCCAACTAAAAGTCAGAGAATAAGAAGCCCATTGATGGATTCAATAAAGGTCAGCTTCTCACAGCTGGGAACAGTGTTGATGGGTAGAGAATGGCTCTGCAGAGATGAACAGGAAATGTCCAGCACAATTCTAGCTACCCCAGGCAAAGGCTGACTGCACACTTGACTGCAGAGGACCATGACTCAGCAGGAGGAATATTACTTTGCTGGCCTTGCAGTTAGTCAGCCAGTTTGGGCGTATTTTCAGGAAAAGCTGGCCCTTGGAAAAAGCTCCAGAGTCTCAAATGGCTGTGCTGGATATTTTTTGAAGTGTATCCCATAGTTTTGAAATGTACATGTTCACCAGCAAAATGTCAAACAATTTTGGGGAACTGGCATCTGTTTATTTGTCAAGCAAGGACATTTCACAAAAAGCAATTAACATCTAGTATCACAATCATTTCATAAGAGACAGTCATTTTATAACCACCTGCATTAAGTTTCCTATTTCTGTTGTAATAAATTACCATAAGCTTCATAGCTTAAAACACCAGCAGCCACCAGACTCATGGATGACCAGATCAGAGAGCCTGATGATGCTCTCTCTTGTTTATGGCATAAATACCAGCAACAACAACAACAAAGTTATACATCCTCCCACAGATTACTCATTCCTATTTGTGAAGACTTTTAAAAGTGGTCTTATGGCTGTTTCCTTTCTGCAAACTGCTCAATGTGAATTGCCCACTCTATGCTGTTTGCTGCTCTCTTCATGCTCTTGCTACACACTGCACAGTGTGCACTGCTCACTATGTGCTGCTCGCTTCGCATTGCTCACTGCTTACAGCACATTGCTCACAGCATATTGCACACTGCTCACAGTGTACTGCTCACAATGCATGCTGCTCACTGCTTATAGCACACCGCTCACAGCATACTGCTCAGTTTACTGTTCACTGTGTACTGCTCACAGCATATTGCTCACAGCACACTGCTCACTGCATACAACATACTGCTCAGTATACTGAACACTGCTCACAATGCACTGTTCACAGTGTACTGCATACTCCTCACAGCATACTACTCACTGCTTGCTGTGCATTGCTCACAGCATAATGTACAATGCACACTGCTTACTTCTCTGACCCACCACATGCTTCCATAGAAGCCACCGCATGAAACAAAGATGTAAGAGTAGAAAGGGAAGGTGCTCCAGGGGCTCTGCAATAGATGACGGAACATTCTAACTTTTGATCGGATATTGAGTACAGCATAGTGAACACACTTAATGCCACTGAATTGTATACTTGATAATGGTTAAGATGGCAAATATTTTGCAATATAGCAAAACCTGTGAGAGCCAGAACTCAACAGGACTGTCTTATTTTTCTGGGTTTTGCAAGTTTCCTACCTTTTACATGGTGCAGTCTTACTACTTTTCTATTATTGGAAAATATTTTCATTTTCTTTCTTTGACAGGTTTCTGCCTTATATAGGTTCTGGCTTTCACAGATCGTACTGTATATACACCCCATAATAAATTTCTTTAGAAAAAAGGAAGCATTGAGATCATTTTCATTTTGAAGCAGGGTTTCATCTGCTCAGCCAATGAATGAATTTTCCTTAGACTATGTAACAAGAATAGGGGCCAGGAAAAGATGACAAAAAAAAAAGACCTTGTGTGAAAGGGACTAGGACAAAGTTTTACCTGAAGGACTGAAATAGAGACCTCCATCTTATTATGGAGACAGTGAATGGACCAGAACTCCTGACTCAAAGTGCTACATGCAGCAAGTGCTTAATAAGCATTTAATGGACTCTAGAAGTGGAGGAATATTGTAATCAATATTCATTTATTTAGACATGAGTTATCCATTGTGTGAATATGTCGGGTTCTTTAGCTCTTTTCTTCTTTAATTATTGCCACTTCCTTTTGGATAGAGATTATCTATGAGGCCTGAGCTTTGGCGTCAGGAGTTTACAGTCTTGGCTCTGCCACTAACTTAGCAGTGATGAACTTAAACAGATTATTAAGCATCTCTTAGGGCTCAGGCTAAAGGATGTCTAAACCCCTCTCAGTTGTTCAGACAATCCCATATAGCACTGATTCTCAGTGTGATAGCATGGAGGAAGAGAACTTTGTAGAACCAAAAGCTGCCTTCGGAGCAGTTTTTTTTTTTTTTTTTTTTTTTTCTTTCTTTCTTCTGAGCAGTTTTGACAGATTTTTCCTGGACTAGACTTATTCTGTATGATTTACTCCATGACCTTGGGTACCCTCCCATCTCCCTCTTATGAACCCTCCTCCAGCCGTTCTACTTGTTAGTCTGGTACCTCATTCTAATCTGTGGATATCCAGTCTATAGCTATACCACCCTGGTCTCAGCTAGTCTGTGGATATCCAGAGCTCCCTATTAAACCTGTCTTTTTCCTCAGTGCCAGGACCTTGATTAGCTGACCCAGGAAAAAGGGCTACTTGTGGTATACACACTAAGGTGAATGACTGTGTTTAGTACATTAGCACTGCCTGGGATATTTTATATTTTTTTGGAAAGGATCCTGTTAGTCCTTGAAATTGAATAAATAATGGCATAGATTCCAAGCATTGTGAGTGCTCATTAATATTTTCGTATTGATGGATTGTCCCACTGGAAACAGAAAGATGATGATGATTATGGATGTGTGGACAGATGGACTTAGTTTATGTAGTAAATAGATATATGTTGTTGTTGTTGTTGTTGTTATGTGCCGTCGAGTCGGCCCCGACTCATAGCGACCCCTCCTTGGGTTTCCGAGGCAGTATCACTACGGAAGTAGGATTGCCCAACCTTCCTTCCGAGGAGTAGCTGGTGGGTTTGAACCGCCAGCCTTCTGGTTAGCAGTCAAGTGCTTTAGCCACTAAATAGATATATAGATAGATGATATGATACCTATATCAGAGTGGTAAAAAGCATGGAATCTAGAACCAGTCAGCCCAGACTGAATCTCAGCTGTCACTTATTGTATAACTTTGAGAAAGTTTCCTAGCCCCTGGGCTTTCCTCTCTTAATAGTAAAATGAGGACCATAGTAGAGCTGTTGAGAGGAGGAAATGAGCTGATACACACAGAGCACTTACAACAGTGTCTGACATAGAGCTGCATCAGGGGGAAAGAGACCTCAAATTCAAACAAGTCTGATAGAGACACTTTCATTAAGCCTTGGACAGAACAAAGACAAAATAAAGACAATCATCCTGAATGAGGGAAACATCAGCCTGAGAAAGCTGAATGGAGTCTGCTGAGTCATGGCCATGTGGCTAATTATATATGCTTTTAAATCATCACAAAACTAGAATTCATAGTAGATAGATTCATCACTGTTACAGGCAGGATTACAGAAGCGAGGTAAAGACTGTGATTGGGATTTGAAGATAGGAAAGGGTTACAGGATTGGTTCTGGGCCTTGACTACCCGGCTAAGGTGGTGGTCCAAATAGGCTGTGACTCATGACCACCCAACCTGAGGCTTAGCCACAAGATGGCTACTAAATAATATTAAGACCCCAGCCTTAATTTAAATTAGAAAAGGGCACTCTCAAGCAAGTTCCCTATTTCTTTGTAAGAGTATAATCTACTTTCAAATATACTCTTCCTGAAGGCAAACTGTCCCTCCCTAAGTTTATCTTTAACTTGTCAGTGCATAGCCACAATGATGGTTTAATGGTCAGAAAGAACCCAAATGGCATCTATAACTCATGCCAAGCTTCAAAACAGAGT